TCTGCCACTGGCTGACCTTTCTAGTATACAGAAACCTAAGCAAGAAGTAGCACTGAATAAAAATGCCCAGGTAAGCCAGGTGAAGAGGACACACCTATTATAAACCCAATACAGGGAGGTTGAGGCAGGAGGACCTTGTTTTTTTTTTTTTTTTTTAAAAAAAAACTAGGTAAAATTTAAAAACAAATGTAAACATTAAACAGGCAAAGGGGGAAAATTCACGTGCATATTAAAATATTTCCTTTGCTGTATATCCACAGATTTTTTTAAAAAAGATATTGACCAGGTTTTCACTGACGACTAATGGCACTGAGGATCAGAGAGACGAGATTACTTCTGATATAGAATATCAGATGCGTACAAATTAGGATCTAAATTTAACACTTGCACAAATAGGAGAATATCTACTGTTCCAAGAAAATCGTTCTAAAACTTTACACATATGGGCTTATTTTACCCAAAGTAGCCTAGGAAGAGGATGACTATTCACAAGGTATCTGTACCCACATGATCTTCCATGAAACAGGACCTTTGAAATGTTTTGTTGTTAGTACCACACTATGGACCAGCCCAGGTACAAGAGAACTCTGCTCCGTACATTAGAAAATCCTGCTCACAACACTATATTTTGTCTCAAAGGATCTGACAATTCCTACCTAATGACTTTTTTTTTTTTTGCCAGTCCTGGGGCTTGAAGTTGGAGCCTGGGCACTGCTCCTGAGCGTTGGCTCAAGGCTAGCTAGCACTCTATCACTTGAGCCACTGCACAACTTCTGGCTTTTTCTGTTTATGTGGTACTGAGAAATCGAACCCAGGGCTTCGTGCCTGTTAGGCAAGCACTCTACTACTAAGCCACCTTCCCAGCCTGCTACCTAATGACTTCTCAAGTCTGAGCTGCATTTTGTGGGCATGTGAACTCAGGCCCTCAGTGTTCATCCCTTAGCCTTTCCCCTCAAGGCACCTCATACTCTACCACTTGAGCCATAGTTCCACTTCTGGCTTTTCAAATGGTTGGTTGGCATGTGTCACAGATTTTCCTGCCTGGGCTGGTTATGAACCATGATTTTTCAGATTTCAGCCTCCTAAGTAGCTAGGATTACAGGCCACGGGTGCCCGGGCTTCGCAGATTAAAAAAATAATAATAATATTTTAATGATGGCTCAGTTAGCAAACATTCCAACCAGCGGATGGACATGGACAGAAATGTCACTGAGGATGAGAGAGAGCAAAAGGCCTGTGTAAAGATAAGGCACGGTGTCACACATTAGGGCAATACAAACCAAAGGCTCTGACTAGACCCACTGAGAGCACACAGGCTAGTGGGGTTGGAGAGGAACCAGTTCCATCACAGTGCTGGGAGTATAAAATGGTGTGGCCACCCTGGAAAAGCGTTTGGGAGTGGTGTGTGTGTGTGTGTGTGTGTGTGTGTGTGTGTGTGTGTGTGTGTGTGTGTGTGTGTGTGTGTGTGTGTGTGTGCGTGCAACAGCAGCACTAAGGCGTGAACTCTCAGGCCTGAACTTTAACACACACTGGCACTCTACCACGTGCACCACAAGCTTCACGTAGAGCCTGTTTGCTGGTGAATTAGATAAGAATCGCACAAACTTTTCTACCCAGGCTGGTTGTGAATCAGGAGCCTCAAAAATCAGCCTCCTGAGTCGTTAGGATTATGGGTGCAAGCCACCAGGCACCCAGCCAGGCGGACACAAATACACTTGCAAATATAAACACTTTAAAAATCAAAGATGGGAGAATTCTAGCTCAAAACAATGTAGTCCTTCTCAAAAGGAAACAAAAATGGTTGTCCTTCCCAGAGATAAGGTGTTGCCTGTCAACAAATGCGGTTGAGCAGCTTCTACAAGTCCAGTGTGTGGCAGTGGATGGAGTTTCTGCTTTCAGTAGCTTCCACTCTTCTTTGCTCAAAGATAAGGGAACCAACAAAGCAGCTAAGCGAGGGAGGGGAATGGGGGGAGGACGAAGACATGATCCAAGGCGTACAGTACCACACTAGCCTGCAAAGGACCAGAGTTCAAAACCATGTGACCTCGAAAAATAAACAAAGCAGCAAATCACAGAAGATCTGCAGAATATGCTAGCTCTACACGGAAGCCAGGTATCCACTAATTAAGATTACATAGATTGCAGGGGTGGGGCTAGAGCAGGTGGATAAAAAAAAAAATCTGAGGCAATTAATGGCTTGTAGCTGTGTAGAGCACTTGCCCAGCAAGCTCAAAACTTTGGCTTTGATCCCCAGCATGGTCTGTCTGTATGTCTGTCTGTCTGTCTGTCTGTCTGTCTGTCTCTCTCTCTCTCTCTCTCTCTCTCACACACACACACACACACACTTGTGATTTTCTCTTCTTGTCTTCATTAACCGGCACAGTAGAAACCCTGTTTAAGCAACCAGACTCAGAATGCATGGCATGGTGAGTCACAAAAAGATTTGAAGAACGAAAAGCTGGGTGCCGGTGGCTCACACCTGTCATCCTAGCTACTCAGGAGGCTGAGATCTGAGGATCACCGTTCAAAGCCAGCGTGGGCAGAAAGTCCGTGAGACTCTTATCTCCAATAAACCACTAGAAAACTGGAAGTAGCATTGTGGCTCAAGTGGTAGAGTACTGGCCTTGAGCTGACGAGCACAGGGACAGCATCAAGGCCAGAGTTCAAGCCCCACAACTGACTAAAAAAAAAAAAAAAGATTTGAAGAATGAGTGAGAGACAATCGGTACCATTTTAAGATGGACTGTAAAGCACACTCTCCTCACTAAGATTTCTCCAGAAAACACACCGGGTAGACCTCTAATGGGAAAACAAAACTTGAAGAGAAGGATTAGCATGTTATCTAAATGTTGTAAATGCTGGCATGTGTCATAAACAACTACCAACTCTACTACAACCAGAAGAACAAATGTCATTCACTATATTTCTGATTCGGGTTAAAGCTGAGAAAAGATTTACTATATTATGCTGCTAAAAATGATCAGCTTCTAAATTCATAGAGAAAAAAAAGCCACTGGATTATTGTTTTGGAAGAGGGCAGCACTGGGGGTGGAACCCAGGACTGCCGGGATTGCAGGCTCTGGTCTTTAATGAGACTATAAGAATATTAAAATAGAGTAGCTTCTATGAGAACTTTGATAGAAAAGATTTAGTTGACTAGAGCTTGGTAGAATTTGAAAAGGAATGAAAAAATCCTGACTTATAGCAAACACAGCAAACACAACTACCTTTGTTTAACGAGGTATTTCCAAATCTTAAAGGAGTTAATGATACACTGCTACAAGGCCTCCCTAAATAACGTGTGTGTGTGTGTGTGTGTGTGTGTGTGTGTGTGTGTACACCCTGGGGCTTTCTGCAAAAGGTTAGTGCTCTATTACTTGACCCACAGCTCCATTTTTTTTTGGTAATTGGAGTCTCACAGACTTTCCTGATTGGCTGACTTTGAAGCATGATCCTCAGATCTCAGCCTCCCTGGTAGCTAGGAAGACAGGTGTGGGAAACCCATACCTGTCTCAAAAACATTTTTAACTACTGAAGAAGACCCTAAAATAGAATTTTTGACTAAGATAGAATTTGCAAAGATGTAACTTAACCTTCAGTCCTCTCCTGTGTGATTCTGGAGGACAGGGGTAGCAGTGCCGCAGACTTCAAATGTGCGTTTATTATATTTTAATCAGAACAGCCCTGTCTGATAATAGCTAGTTAGGACTTGCAGTAATTAATCTTTTTTTTTTTTTTGCCAGTCCTGGGGCTTGAACTCAGGGCCTGGGCACTGTCCCTGATCTTCTTTTGCTCTCGGCTATCACTCTACCACTTGAGCCACAGCACCACTTCCAGCCTTTTCTATTAACGTAGTTCTGAGGAATCAAACCAAGGGCTTCATGCATGCTAGGCGAGCATTCTACCACTGAGCCACATTTCCAGCTGCGGTGATCAATCTTGACCAATAGTGAAATGAATTCATTCATTCACCCATTCTTTCATTCATGAAACTGCAAACCCAGTGTAGGAAGACGAGAGCGAGACCTTGAGAACCGGGGCTGGAGCAAGGTGAGCAGCTTGAGGAAAGGTCGCAGCTGGCCAGGAAGCTGCTCTACTACCCACACCACACCTCTGGCTAAACAGAACACACATTTCAAAGACAGAGACTGGCAAACCTCCTACTCACACCCAAGAGAGACACACCTCCAACCATGGCAGCTCTTAAGTCAACTACTAAATCAGGCCACTTTCTTCCAATGAAGCTGTTATCAACTAGGCACTTGAAAAAAAAAGAGACATTCATGTAAGTATCTCCACAACTGAGCAAGATAAAGAACAGGGAAAGAAAGGCAGGATTTATATCCATGACCTGCATTTTGTAAAAAAGAAAGAAAGAAAAAGAATGCTGTACTTGAGATGGAGGTTTTTTGTTTCTTCTTTTTTTGCCAGTCTTGGGGTTTGAACTCAGGGCCTGGGCACTGTCCCTGAGCTTCTTTTTTTTTCACTCAAGGCTAGCGCTCTACCACATGAGCCACAGCAACACTTCCTGGCTTTTTCTGTATGTGGTACTGAGGAATTGAACCCAGGGTTTCATGCATGCTAGGCGAGCATTCTACCACAGAGCCACATTGCCAGCCCCCTGAACTAGAAGTTTTTTTTTTTTTGGTTACGGTCATGGGGCCTGAACTCTGGCCTGGGCGCTGTCCCTCAGCTCTTCAATGTTTTGGGTTGTTTTTTTTTTGATTCAGTAAGAATCTGTCACAAGGTTCAGCACTCTGGCTCATGGCAGAAATTCCAGCACTTGAGAGACTGAGGTGAGACAATGAAGAGTTCAAGGATAGCTTGAGCTCCAGAGCAAGAACCTTGTCACACACACACACACACACACACTAAAAACAAGGATAAACATCCTCTGTTACAGGCCCTCTGCGGCCCAGGTTGGCCTACAACTCTTAATCTTCCTGGAGTACTGCGATATTACAGGAGTGCGTGATCACAGCAACCCTTAACATCCTGTGTAGTAACAAAACTACAATGAACTACAATTAGGTTCTCAGTGTTTTTCAACATATAACAAATGCTTAGATTTGAGCTGCAAGAGTCAGAATTAAGGCAGTATCTTTATGCTCACGAAAAGCAAGCACTGGCTATCAAATAAGCTTATCTGGCATCTACTGGATCATTTTTGGATGGGACATAGAAACATGGCTTTACACATACTAATAATTTAAAATTATACATTTTTCTCACTTATCTTGTCTTTTTAGTTATATGGATTTCCAATAGCCCACTTAAAGAATTCAAGGAATACTTTTTGCATCATTTCAGAACAAAATGTAACCAGTGCTTGACCCAGAACACTTATGCTCTCAGAGGGATTAGCCTACACAAAACCAGAGGAGGACTCACACTGTGAAAATACAGTTGGAAATGGCTGATGGTCCTTTGGGGTAGGCTAGAAAACAGAAGACAAAATCTTGAGGTATTCTGCCTTATAATTTCATCAAGATTTGGGTTTAAAAAGAGATGGGTTTTTGTTGTTGGTAACTGTTTAAGAGTAGGCTGTGAAGCCCATTTTAAATGTGGTCCTCCATTGGTGGGGTGGGAATCCCTGAGCGGTGGTGGCTCATTGGCTTATCAGCCCGTCCATCATCCATCCTTATCCCTCCTGGGGCACTGAGCACTACATGTTGGTATACCAGTTCATGGAGCGCTTCACGGCCTTCACCCAGTTTTCCATGTGCAGTGCATACTCTTGACATTTCTTCTGTGGCCTGAAAACCATCTCACTTTTTCTCAGCTTTTGCAGTTCCTCCTTGTCATTCCAAAACCCTGAGTACAAAAAGATGAGTCTCAGGTCTTGAAGGCAAAGAGTCCGTAAAATTTATTCAAAAACCTCCATGAGCTGTGCCAAGAACAAATCCTGTTCTGAGACACAAACCGCAGAGATTGTGTTGCTTCTGAATTGTGCTGGGTTGGAATAAACACCAGGATTCTAAAATTTGGTTTCTAACTTTTAGTTTTTGTGGATTTATTTTATGTGTGTCAGTACCACAGCCTGAGCTCAGGGCTCTTCCCACTTGCTTGGCCCTTAATCATATGAGTCATGCCTCCAGCCTGGCTTTTTGTTGGTTATTTGGAAATGGGGTCTTGCAGAATTTTTTGCCTGACTTCAAATCAAACTTTTCCACATCTCAGCCTCCCAAGTAGCTAGGATTACAGGCGTGAGCCACCAGTCCCTGGAACCAGCTGTGCTTTCTGCTAGTCATTTGGAGATGGGTCTTACACGGTTTTCTGCTTGGGCTGGCTTGAAACTCCATCTTCCAGGTTTCAGCCTACTGAGTAGCTAGGATAATGACATGAGTCACTGGTGCCTGGCTTTACTTTTATACTAGAGGGAAATGGCGCCATCTTTTTTTTTTTTTGGTCAGTCATGGGAGTTGAACTCTGGGCCTGGGCACCAACCCTGAGCTCTTCAGCTCAAAGCTAGCACTCTACCGCTTGAGCCACAGTGCCACTTCTGGGTTTTTTTTGAGTGGTTAATGGAGATAAGAGTCTCACGGGGACTTTCCTGCCCAATCTGGCCTTGAACCTCGATCTTCAGATCTCAGCCTCCCGAGTAGCTAGGATTACAGGCGTGAGCCACTGGCACCTAGCTGGCACATCATAAAGCAATTACATCTGCCATTTAATTTCATGACTTGCTATTTAAGAAAATTCAGGAACCAGGAAGTAGCATTTTTTTTCTTATTTATCTTTGTGCCAGTATCAGGCTTGAAATCAGGGCCTAGATACTGTTCTATAGATTTTTACCTCAAGGAAGGCACTCTACCACTTGAGCCAGGGCTCCACTATTGACTTTTTGGTAGTTAACTGGAGATAAAGAGTCTCACACACCTTTCTTCCCAGGCTGGCTTTATACTAGTATCCTCTCAGTATCTTGAGTAGCGAGGATGCATTTTCGTATTTGTGGTACTGGGGATCTGCATGTATTAGGCAGGCATCCTACCACAGAGCCACATCCCCAGGTACATTTTCTTTTTTCTGGTTGGTCGTGGGGCTTGAACTCTGGGCCTTTGTACTGTCCCTCGGCTCTTCAGCTCAAGGCGAGTGCTCTACCATTTGAGCCACACCTGAGAGGCTCTAGGTTTTGCTGGTTAATTGGAGATGGCTGACTTCAAACTGCAATCCTCAGATCTCAGCCTCTGAGCAGCTAAAATCAGGGAACCAGTCAACCATGCCTAGCTTGAAAATTAATTTTTTTTAATCTTAACTCCTGGAATTTATTTATGATTCACCTTACTAAATGTGTATAGGAACCAGTTTCAAAGCAAATTTAGGAAATCCAGAAGAAATACACAGTGCCCTTTTCTCTCAGGTCTATTATCCCTTTCACTACTGGACAACTGCTGTCTCTCTTAAGAAACCTCTAGCATTTCTTCAGTACCACTGTATTCCCAGGTTTATCATGCAAATCTATCCTTTTACATGTCTAATCCCACTCAGGTGAGGAAAAACAGCTTTTAACTGTTCATTCCAGCAGTGACTGTCGCATAATAGCTGCTCAACAAATGTGGATAAACAAATGAGCGTTTTCCAAAGCCAACAATGAGCCTACTGACCATTTTCTCTTCTTTACCACACAGCTCCACTCCTCTGAGCGACTGATCCTTCCACCAGACGTTTCAACTTCAGCGCCTCCATGTCTGCTTCATTTCTACACCGCCTCATTTTAGCAAGAATTCCAACTCCCAAGTCCATGTAACCAGAAACCCCATTCCTCAATATCTGATTACCCATCAACCCTCAGGAGATACTGGAAGACAGGAGCTGCCTTCAGCAAAAATCCTGTTAGGTTGCTCCTGAGTTACTAGGATTGCAGGCATTTTCAACGTATTATTAAATAATTCCTTTCTTCCACAGTGTGTACCCAGCAATTGGACCAACCACACTGTTGCTAGAATGGAATGCTCTCAGGTCCAGCTTCTTGCTGAAGGCAGGAAGTAGAGCTGGGAAAGGTATCCCTAGCTCTACCGGCAGCAGAGGCCAGAGGGGACCTGGCAATCAACACACCGCCAAGTATGGACCTTGGTGGCTCTGACCCTCTCCGTAATTTTCTGAGTGGAGAGGACAGACGCAATCATGCAGTTTGCAAGAGTTCTCACTTATATGAAATCGCCCACACCTACCCACAGCGAGGCCAGCCAAAGAAGCTGCACCTAGGCAGGACATATCGAAGTCAGTGGGTCTGTCGATATTCTCATTGATCAGGTCTGATGTCATCTGCATGACAAATCCGTTCTTACAAACGCCTCCATCCGCCCTGTGGGGAGCAGGTGTGTGGGTAAGTGACTACCGCTGAAGTACCGCTTTCCCCTGCTGCTGCTTGGTCTTTGGTAGATTTAATTCCTTTCCATGCTGAGGACTGAGCCCAAGGCTTGCAGCGTGCCAAGCACAAGGGCCTACCCACTGGGCCATCCCTCCCCTCAATCCAACTGAATTTTTTGTTTTTGTACCAAACTGGGGGTTGAACTCAGAGCCTGGGCACAGTCCCTGAGCTTTTGGGCTCAAGGCTAGTGCTCTACCACTTGAGCCACTTCCAGATTTTTGGCGGTTAACTGGAGCTTAGAGTTGCATAAACTTTCCTGCCTGGGATGGCTTTGAACCATGACCCTCAGATCGCAACCTCATGAGTAGCTGGGGTTACAGGTGAGAGCCCAGCCCAGCCTTTTTAATCTCCCAAACCATATCCTTTAGCACTGACCTGGGGGCCAGGTGCTATTGGGTGATAACCAAACATGTTTTTCCCTTGTTTTGGCCATCACTTTTCCCAAATGATCTATCTTACTGGGGACTAGTTCATATTCTATTTGCGGTGGGGGTGGGGGGTTGCAGTAGGGCAAGTGTTTGCATGCGCGTGGTTGAGATGTACCCTCTGCAGTGAAGGGGGTACGTGAACACGCGTGATCACATGCACGCGTCTGGAGGGCACGAGTGCACGAGGCGGTATGCCTGTGAGGGAGGCATGCACACGTGGGGGGAGACGCGTGCACGTGGGGGAGGGGCATGCCCGCGCAGTGACAGGGGCACACATACAGTACCGGATGGTGGTGACCGGGATGTCGATCTCCTTCTGCATCAGCTCGTACAGCTGCTTGTTTCTGGTTAGGAACCGGGTAGGAGAGAGCGAGGCGGAGGTTGAGGTGCGGGATTATCATGAGCCAGTGAACCCCCCCTCCCCCAAGCAGAGAGCACACACTGAAGGTATAAAACCAGCATGCTGGGGGGGTGGGGGAGGCTGGGGCGCTGCAGGGGGGACCAGGGAGAATCTGTGACAGACCTTCACCTGCACGCATGGAAATACAAAACTAAAATCTGAACTGGGAAGGTGGCTCAGTGGTAGAGCGCTTGCCTGGCATGCATGAGGCCCTGGGTTTGATACTTCAGCACCACATAAGCAGAAAAAAAGCCGGAAGTGGCACTGTGGCTCAAGTGTAGAGCGCTAGCCTTGAGCTGAAGAGCTCCCAGGCCCAGAGTTCAAGTCCCACGATCAACCAAAAAAAAATTAAAAAATAAAATCTACATTGTTTTGTATGCGCCTTGAACTCAGGGCCTGGGTGATATCCCTGAGCTTTTCTGCTCAGCACTAGCATTCTACAGCTTGAGCCATAGAACCAATCCTGGCCTTCTCTGAGTGGCTTATTGGAAATAAGCATCTCATGGACTTTCCTGCCTGGGGTGACTTCCAACAGCGATCCTCAGATCTCAGCCTCCTCAACAGCTGAGATTACAGGTATGAGCCACCAGTGCCAGCCAGAGTTTGGTTTGCTCTCTGCAATCTGGGGACAGAAATGGAGTATCTCTAGTGTGCCAAGCACAAGCTCTCTCCTTGAACTATGGCCCTGAATATTTTCACAAATCACTCAATATTCAGACAACCAAATCTAAGTGACACAGTCCTGTGAAATAGGACAGCAATGCAAAATGCCTTAGCATGTGTGTGTGTACTGATGTGCTGTGTGTACTGAACTGAATGTATAAATAATTTAGTTGCTACTAAGACATTTTCGATGTGGAAGCAAGTGGACAGCAGCATGGGCAGGGGGTGTGTTCAGGCAGGAACTGCTTACCTGTATGCTATGGACTCCAGAATGGCACGGACAAGATGGTACTTGCTGGTAGAAGGCTTCAGGCCCATGAAGGCTGCACATGCACAGGGGTCGTTTAAGGGAGCCTAGAGGAGAGGCGAAAGCAGCTCATTAAAGCTCCGTGACAGCAGCAGAGGAGGACTGAAGAATACAACAATGGGCTCAGAAGCTGACCCATAGTAAAACAATCTTAAAACAAGATTGCAGACTACAGATTTTGCTAAGCAGGAGGTGGTGACTCTCGGTTGGCTCTCCAATCATAGATCCCAGGTTTTGCTCTGCAAACCACAGACGCTGCTGGAGCAAAGCACTGTTGTCACGGCAGGATGGCCTGGCCCAGGCCCAGCCTCCAGTGCTGCTCTCACTGGCCCTGGAGCTCGGCCAGTGTACTTTGTCAGTGGGTTTCCTTGAGAAGTTAAGGCTACTAGACTTCACGGTGCTACCCCACATTAGTATTACTCAAGGCTGTCACAGTACCTTGAAAGGCATTATTCAATACTGGGACCAGGGCCAGGAATGTGGCTCAGTGGTAGAGTGCTTGCCTAGCATGCATGAAGCCCTCGGTTCGATTCCTCAATACCACATAAACAGAAAAAGCCGGAAATGGGACTGTAGTTCAAGTGGTAGAGTGCTAGCCTTGAGCAAAAGAAGCTCAGGGACAGTGTTCAGGCCCTGAGTTCAGTCCCTAGGACTGGCAAAAAAAAGAAAAAAGAAAAACAAAACCTGGGACCATCAACTTTTTTTTCCCTTGGTTCTGGAGCTTGAATTCAGGGCCTAGGCACTGTCCCTAGGCTTCTTTTGCTCAAAGCTGTTGTACCACTTGAGCCCCAGATCCACTTCTGGCTTTTTTAATAGTGAAGATTAAGAATCACAGAGACTTTTCTGTTCCAGGCTGGCTTTGAACTGTGATCCTCAGCTCTCAGCTTCCTGAGCAGCTAGGATGACAGGCGTGAGCCACCAGCGCCCAGCCACCAACCAACCTTAAAAACAACAACAACAAAAAATACCTGTAATCCACTAAAGGAAGGGACAAAATAAACTCCTTCTGAATCTTCCAAACTTTTGGCCATTTTTTCCGTTTCAGCAGCATCTGTGAAAAGATCTGCAAAAACAAACACACAAACCACCACAAAACCCTAAAACAAAACCAAGGGTTGGGAGGGACAAAGGGAATGAACGTTACAGCTAGTATGTACTGCACGTGTGCCTTATGCACTGGCTGTCACCGCTCTAAGGGACCACACGGGGTCACTGGCCTGCTCGGAGATCTCACACTGGCAGGGACAGTGAAGGCCCGGTACATGCGCACCTCATGCAGCGGGCTTTCCTTGTGTGTTCAGTCAAGTCTGGACTACTTAAAGAATCAGTTCCAAGCCAGGTGCTGGTGGCTCACCCCTGTCATCCCAGCTACTCAGGAGGCTGAGATCTGAGGATAGAGGTTCAAAGCCAGCCCAGGCAGAAAAGTTCCCGTGAGACTCCTATCTCCAATGAAACCACTAAAAAAATTTAGAAGTGGAGTTGTGGCTCAAGTGGTAGAACACCAACCTTGAGCAAAAGAGTTCAGGGACAGTGCCCAGGCCCTGAGTTCAAGCCCCACAACTGACCAGGAAAAAAAAAAAAAAAAAGAATTGATTCTAGCTGGGTCCTGGTATTTCTATAATTGTTGCTACTCAGTCAGGAGGCTGAGATCTGAGGTTTGAGGTTCAAGGTCAGCAGGACAAGGAAAGCTTGTGAGACTCCTATCTCTGATTAGCTACCAAAAAGCTGCAAGGAGAGCTGTGGCTTAAGTGGTAGAGTGCCAGCTTTGAGTGGAAATGCTAAGGGACAGTGCTTGGGACCTGAGTTCAAGCTCTCCTACTGGCACCAAACTGACAAATAAACAAATCCTTTCCTCTGATAAGGGAACCTTTGTCTCTAGGGAGGGTACCTAGAGAAAACATCAACAGGAATTATGGGTAACTCCAAGTGTGTACTCACACACAAGTCTCTGAGGACTGGGTGGAGCTGGAGAGGTGACGTGTAGCAGTTAAAACTGGTGCTGCTGGGGCTGGGAAGTTGGCTCAGTGGTAGAGCGCTTGCCTTGCATGCCTGAGGCCCTGGGTTCGATTCCTCAGCACCACATAAGCAAAAAGAAAAAACCCGGAAGTGGCGCTGTGGCTCAAGTGGTAGAGCGCTAGCCTTGAGCTGAAGAGCTGTGGGACAGCGCCCAGGCCCAGAGTTCAGGCCCCACGACCGGACCCAAAAAAAAAAAAAAAACTGGTGCTGCTAAGGAGATGATGTGTGAGATTTGGCAGCTGGACGATAGCAGAGGTGAGATCCTTCCAAGTCCCTCAGCCAGGTCCTGCTGCTTCCTGTTCCGGCCTCTGCCCCTCTACCAGCTGCCTCCATCTCCCCCGAACCTTCTCTCTTGCCCCCCCACCCCACCTCTCTCCTTTCCTCAGGGTTCAGCTGACATGACACTCAAGACTAAACCTCATCCTTCCTTTGTAAGTCAGTTAGGAATTCTGCTGGTTACCTCCTCTACTTCCTCCTCCTCCTCCTCCTCCTCCTCCTCCTCCACTTCCTCCTCCTCCTCCTGTACTTCTCCTCCTCCTGTACTTCCTCCTCCTCTTCTTCGTCTCCCCCCATCAGTTGTAGGGCTTGGACTTGGGGCTGGGCGCTGTCCCTGAGCTCTTTCACTCAAGGCAAGAGCTCTATCACTTTGATCCACAGCACTACTCCCAGTTTCCTAGTTTACTGGAGACAAGAGAATCACAGACTTTCCTGCCTGGGCTGGCTTTGAACCGTGATCCTCAGATCTCAGCCTCCTGAGTAGCTAGGATGACAGGCACAAGCTATCAGGGCTGGCCTCCATTTCTTTTTCTAAGAGGAGGTATTGCTGTTTGCCAAGATGACAGTCAGTCGTGAGTGGCTCAAACCTTTTATACTTTGTTTTATTACATGCTTTTTAAAAAAAATTCTCATCTTTTATTTGAAGAATCCATTCAATGTATACTGATGTACAATAATGTGACATATGAGTTCTTTTTGTTTTGTTTTTGTTTGGTTTGGGTAGCACCTAGGTTTGAACTCAGGGTCTTGAGACCCATCCCTACAGATAACCCTGAACCAGTTACAAGACCCGCCCTATTGGGGGCCCCTGCTCCTAATGAGCAGCTCCGCCCTTACCGATGGGCCCGCCTCCAGCCCCTCCAGTTGAATGCTTAAGTGTGGCCTGTGAAAGTCACTTAAGGGAGGACTTACCTAACTTCTGAGCCCACAGTATGGCGGTGCCCGTGTCCCCCGCATTGCCTTCGGCTAAGCACACAACTTCTTGTCCAATCTTCCACCCAACCAATGGATAAAAGCCTTAGAATGCAAGCAAACAGTGTTCGTCAGAAATACATGTCTCACAATTGTGTATGACACAATTACTTGATCATATACAAAAAATAAATCGCAAAGTACCTATGAGATCAGAATACCGGAGTTCGAATCCTAGACCTCTTAACATTATAAGCAATGATCTTTTCTTTTTGGTAGCAATGGAATTTGAATTTAGTCTCTCCAATACTTAGTCCTTGTTGCTTTAGGTATTTGTGTTTATGTGCCAGTCCTGGGGCTTGAACTTGGGGACTGGGGGCTGTCCCTGAGCTTCTGTGCTCTAGGCTAGCACTCTACCACTTGAGCCACAGCTCTAATTTTGGCTATTTTTTTTTTGTCGGTCATGAGGCTTGAACTCTGGGCCTGGGCGCCATCCCTCAGCTCTTCAGCTCAAGGCTAGTGCTCTACCATTTGAGCCACAGCACCACTTCCCGTTTTCTGGGTGGTTTATTGGAGATCAAGTCTCACAGACTTTCCTACCGGGGCTGGCTTTGAACCACTATCCTCAGATCTCAGCCTCCAAAGTAGCTAGAATTATAGGTATGAGCCACCAGGACCGGCACCCGGCTAATTTCGGCTCTTTTAGGTATTTTTTGGATAAAGTACTGGGGGTTTTTGCTCAGGATTACAATTGGATTACCATGCTCCCAGGCAGTTGGGATTAGCAGCATGTAATATCATCTCAGGCTTATTGAGTGGGGCCTGGCTAGCTTTTTTCCTGGGCTGGCCTCCATCCTGATCCTCCCAAGTAGTTGAGATTACAGGTGAGAGCCATCATGCCCAGCCACCAGCTCTGACTCCTAAGCTCTTAGCTTCCATTTCCTCCTCTAGGAAACAGCCTACCAAGAGCAGCTGTGGGAACAGGCTGAGGCAGCACAGGAAGAGAACTCCGCACAGGGCCCAGCTTAAAAAGAAGCAATAAATATCACTTAGTGAGCTGCTCAGTGGTACGGAGGCTCAAGCCCAGGGCCTCCACACATTAGGCCAATGGTCTGCTACTGAGCTCCATCCCCGCCCTGAACATCAGTATAAGTAGGACGCATCAAGGTCTCTATAGACTCGTGGCAGCAGGTATTCTGAAGAACTGAGGTTACCCTGACATTGGCTCCCTAGAGAACTGTGTCATCTTGTTTATCTTGCTTCCAAACTCCTCAGCAGAAATGCCCATAAAACAGTGAGCAGTGTGTTCTAACTTCCATTTTCCCAACAACTGGAAGAAAGGAAAAAACAACAAAACAAAAAACTTAAAACCGGCTGGACACAGCGGCTTGTACCTAGCTACTAGGGAGGCAGGAGGCGGACGACGGGGAAGGTCACGGTTTGAGGCCAGTCTGGACAGAAAAGCCCCTAAGACTTCCTTCTCCGAGGAGGAAGCTGGGTGTGGTGGTGCATGCCTGTAATCCCAGGGAGCTTGGGAAGTGTAAAGTAGGTGGGTTGTGGCTTGAGCATCCACCCAGGTAGGAAGTTAGACGACATCTCAAATATAACCAGCGAAAAACAAGGTTGGAGGCTCAACAGTATCATGTCTGCCAAGCAAGGGCCCTGTCCTGAGGTCAAAACATCAGTCAGGCTGTAAAAACAAAAATAATAGAAAGAATTTAAAACACTAGGACCCATCATGTTCCCACGACTCAGTTCCACAAGGGGGTCTCCAATAGAGACAGTAAATCTTAGCAGTTGTCATTAAGACCCTAAAAACGATTCGGCTTACTAGTTGACTATCCTAGCTACTGGAGAGGTTGAGTGAGAGCTGAAGATTATGCTGCAAATTCAGCCTAGATAGACAACTCTAAGAGACTTATCTCCAATTAATGGGCAAAATACACAACGGGAGGTGTGTCTCAAGTGGTAGAGTGTCAGTCATGAGTAAGAAAGCCAGGCGAGAGCAAGAGGCTCTGAGTTCAGCCCTAGTACTAGCATAAAAAAACAAAGGGAAAAGAGAAAGAGAAAGGCGGAGGGGGGGGAGGGGACTTTACTTCCTAGTTTAAATTGCTCTGTGGCTACCTATGGCTACAGGTCATGTCTACTTTTTGTGTCTCAGTGCCAGATAGACGAAAGAAAAAGAAAAAATAAAGGAAATGAAAAGGGTTAGGAAAGGGGAAAAATTAAGGCTTGAACACGTCTCAGTGATAAAGTATTTGTCTATTATGTGCAAGGCCCTGGATTCCATCCCTAGCACTACAAAAACAAACAAAAAAACCCAACATGTTATACAGATAAATATCTGGGAAGCTAATAAAAATACCCTAATCCTTCTGATTTTTTTCTATCTTTGTTTCCTCTGTGTGTGTGTGTGTGTGTGTGTGTGTGTGTGTGTGTGTGTGTGTGTGTGTGTGTGCGTGGGCGCGCGCGCGCATGTGCCTGTGCATACCAGTTTTGGGGCTTGAACTCAGGGCTTGGGCGCTATCTCTGACCATTTCAGCTCAAAGCTAGCACTCTACCACTTGAGCCACAGTTCCACTTCAGCTTTTTTGGTGGTTCATTGGTGGCAACAGTCTCACAGACTTTCCTGCCTGGGCTGGCTGGCTTTGAACTGAGAGCCTCAGATCTCAGCCTTCTGAGTGGTTAGGATGACAGGAATGAGCCACTGGCACATGGCTTCCTTTCAGTGCTGTTAATCTGACCCTTTTAATGTAAAGGAAGAAAGTGGAAAACGTCTCTAAGAATAGGATGAGAACATGAAATGGGGACATGTCGTCAGGAAATGGCGCGCAGAGGCAGACAGGGAAGAGCGGCATTTTACGTAGCAACAAGTCACCGCCTCACCTCCCAGCGTGTGCTGCGGGCGGTTTCCAGTGTTGATGTCCAAGAACGTCCCCGTGCCCATGGTGAGCTTCACGTCCCCTCGGTGGAAACAGCACTCCCCGAACATGGCCGCCTGCTGGTCGCCCACCTGCAGAGTGCTCTCGTGAAGCCAGCACCCAGACAGTCCCTCCCTCCCTGCCCACCCGTTCCCTGGCCTGTGGCTTCCCTTTGTTTGGGGCTTTGGAGACTGGGTCTCAGGATGGAGTCTGGGTTGACCTCAAGAACATCATCCTCCTGCCTCAGTCTTCCAAGAGCTGGGATTACAGGCATTTGCTACCATGCCAAGCCTTGCATAGAGTGTGTGTGTGCGTGTGCGTGTATGTGTGTGCGTGTGTGTGTGTGTGTGTGTGTGTGTGTGTGTAGGTTGAAATGGTTCTGAAGAGTTGTGGTAGAAGATTGGCCAGATGGTATTTCTGGTTATGTCCAGGATCCCTAAATAAGGGAGGGAAAATGCTATGGGATTCAATTTCTTTCCTTTAACAAATGCCGGGGATTGTGCCCAGACCAGCGCCTACCATGTAGCTATACTCTTCAATTCTGGTCTGCCGAGTACTTCTTGCTCCTCTGAAAGCTAGTCCCTATTGTTCAGTGTTTGTGATGCCCAAGGAGACCCTCAAGCCTTCTACGTACCAAGGCAGTTATTGGGATGGGAACACCAAAGATCTCTTCATCCACGGATCCAAATTGGTAGCTTCAAGGAAGATGGACTGAAGAGTTAGTGTATAGCTCTGGAGGATTCAATCCAAACCTCAGCCCTCCCACTTTCTCAGATGAAGCACACGCAAGCACCCGCCCACCCTCACCCCACTGCTCGAGGAAGGGCGGGGCATGTTTTCTGGGCTGTGTAATATTCCTTTTTACCTGGTGTCCTTCACGGGGGGCAGGACAGAGAGCGGGATGGAGGTCATGAAGGTGATGAGCCCGCTCCAACACATCTGAGCAAGAAAACACAGCACGAGGCCGCTCAGGCCCACCACCCACACCTCGACGCGCCTCCACACGTCGCCGGGAGCAGCCGACGCCCGCGAGGCTGGGCAACTAGAAAACGACCAATGCCAAGCACAGAACCCGAGCTGAGCTATAGGAAAAAGCAATCTTTACCTTAAATGGGTCAAAACATCCCGTGGTGCTAGCATTGGAGACATCTGTGGCATAGACCGAACCTGAATTTACAGGGAAACGGTGCCTTTGTCATTATAAATACGCACTTATTATCATAACGCATTTGTTGTTATAAATTGATAGACCCTCAGTTTTTTTCTTTTGCTAGTACGTACCAGGTTTGAACGCATTCAGTATGTCCACTCCTGGTGGATGCTCTGCTCCCTGAGCCGTGCCTCTACCAGCCAGCCAAGCTTTTTGGTAGTTATTTTAATTTTTTAATTTTTTTTTTTTTGGGTCCGGTCGTGGGGCCTGAACTCTGGGCCTGGGCACAGTCCCTCAGCTCTTCAGCTCAAGGCTAGCGCTCTACCACTTGAGCCACAGCGCCACTTCCGGCTTTTTTCTTTTTTTGCTTATGTGGTACTGAGGAATCGAACCCAGGGCCTCGAGCATGCAAGACAAGCGCTCTACCACTGAGCCACCTTCCCAGCCCCGGTAGTTATTTTAATGATGGAGTCCAGCACACTTTACTGCTTGGGCTGACCTTGAACCTCAATCCTCCAGATCTCAGCCTCCTGAGTAGCTTAGGATCACAAGTATGAGCCACCAGAGACTAGCTTTATCCTCCAAATCATTCTGTACGCTATCTCTAGGGAAATTTCCCACTTAATCTTTTTTTTTTTTTTTTTTTGGTCTGTCATGGGGCTTGAACTCTGGGCCTGGGCACTGTCCCTCAGCTCTTCAGCTCAAGGCTAGCGCTCTACCACTTGAGCCACAGCACCACTTTCGGTTTTCTAATGGCTTATTGGAGATAAGAGTCTCACGACTTTCCTGCCCGGGCTGGTTTTGAACCGTGATCCTCAGATATCAGCCCTCTGAGTAGCTAGGATTACAGGTGTGAGCCACTGGCACCCGGCCCACTTAATCTTTATGAACGGTTATACTGTACAAAAAGCATTTTCAATACAGTAGGTATATATCACTAATCTTGGATCTGTTCCTGAATTCAAATAGCAAGAATTTCCCTTTGTTGGGGCTGGGAAGGTGGCTCAGTGGTAGAGCGCTTGCCTTGCATGCCTGAGGCCCTGGGTTCGATTCCTCAGCACCACATAAGCAAAAAGAAAAAAGCCGGAAGTGGTGCCGTGGCTCAAGTGGTAGAGCGCTAGCCTTGAGCTGAAGAACTGAGGGACAGCGCCCAGGCCCAGAGTTCAGGCCCCACAACCGGACCCAAAAAAAAAAAAGAATTTCCCTTTGTTTACAAAAAAAGAGATTTCAGAAGTGGTGCTGTAGCTCAAGTGGTAGAGCACTTGCCTTGAGCTGAAGAGCTGAGGGACAGCGCCCAGGCCCAGAGTTCAAGCCCCACGACCAACAAAAAATAAATAAATAAACAAAAAAAGAGATTTCAGTAGTTCATAAAGAACATTATATTCTCCTCCCCACCCCACCTGTCAAAAAAAAAAAAGCATCTTCATAGATGTGAGTTCGGAGCCCCAGTTTAAAATGAAGAAAGAGGCCATTGCTGAGTTAACTCCACGCACAGTGAGAACCAGTCTCTGTGCAGATGCTCTACCACTCAGATCACACACTAGCCCTTTCCGCTTTATTTTTGCAGTAAGGTCTTAGGCTTTTTACCCTGGACTGGCCTTGGACCACAATCCTCCTATTTACATTCTCATGTAGCCGGGAAAAGAGCTGAGCATCACCACACCTGGCTTGTTGGATGAGATGGGTTCTCCCCTAGCTTTTTTCCCAGGCTGGCCTTGAACACTGATCCATCCGCTCTCTGCCTCCCAGGCAGCTAGGATTACAACACTGTTGGCTGGTCTTAGATTTCTGAGCTTCCATCATAATTTTAAGACCATCCTCCGCTCAGCACAAACTGAAATCCTTCTCCCCTTACTGACGCATGCGGTTACTAGGTCCCAAAGGGCAGTGTGACCCGGGGAACAGGAAAGAAAAAGGGGCTGATCGGAAACCTCTTGAGTCGTCTCTTCCAGTCGTTTCATTAGAGATCCGTGGAGAAGACCACCGTGAAGGTCACCTCACCTTTTGTGAGCTTGTGCAACAACCAGGTGTCGATGGTCCCGAAGCAACAGTTGTCTTCCTCCACCGCCTTCTGCACCTTCAGAACAGGACAGCACGACGGGAGCTCGCGGCCACCTCAGAACTGAAGTGCCAGAGCCTGTGCCCGCCACAGCCTTGCTTGTAAGAGTACAGAGTATAGTCTAAAAGAGGTTAAGCATGGGGCTGGGAGGGTGGCTCAGTGGTAGAGCGCTTGCCTTGCATGCCTGAAGCCCTGGGTTCAATTCCTTAGTACCACATAAGCAGAAAAATCTAGAAGTAGTGCTGTGGCTTAAGTGGTAGAGCGCTACCCTTGAGTTGAAAAGCTGAGGGACAGCGCCCAGGCCCTGAGTTCAGGCCCCATAACAGGCAAAAAAAAACAGCATAAGAGATGAGATTTAGGGGTATGGCTTTGCCTCTGTGGTCCTTCTAAAAACCTTAATTTTACACTAAGCATGTTTAATTTTGGTTTTTGTTTTGTGCCGGTCTTGGGGCTTAAACTCAGGGCCTGGGTCCTGTCCTAAGCTTTTTTGCTCAAGGCTAGCGCTCTACCACTTAAGCCATAGATCCAATTCTGGCTTTTTTTTTTGGAGGGGGGGGAGTGGCTTAATTGGAAATAATCTCATGGACTTTCCTGGCTGGTGTGGCTTTGAACTGTGATCCTCGTATGTCAGCCTCCTGAGTGGCTAGGATTACAGGTGTGAGATACCAGCAGCGCCCAGCTATCTTACATGCATGTTTTACTATGTGATTAAAAAAAATAGGAGGCTGGAGTCCGCTGGTGGCTCACCTCCCTGTAATCCTAGCTACTAAGGAGGCTGACATCTGAGGATTGAGGTTCAAAGCCAGTCCAGGCAGGAAAAGTCCATGAGACTCTTATTTCTAATTAACCAACCAGAAAAGCAGAAGTGGTGCTGTGGCTCAAGTGGTAGAGCGCTCCCTTGAGCTGAAGAGCTGAAGGACAGAGCTCAGGTCAGTCCCACAATTGACAAAAAAAAAAAAAAGAAAGGTTTGTTATTTTGCTTTTTGTACTACTGTAAATAAATGTTTGAACACTGGCAAAAGCAAACTTTTTGGATGTTTTGAAAAAAAGTCTCACTATGTAACCCAGGCTGGACCTGAACTCTTGACCCTCCTCTTTGAGCCTTCAAAGACTTGGATTATAGACATGAGCTACCACACAAGTGCATTTATCAGACACTTATAGACAAGTGTACCCAACTGCAGGAGAGACAATTCTTCTCTATTACATGTGGCAGCCCCAGTGTGAGACCACAATGGAAACGATCAAAACCATACAACGTTTGTTCTCTGACTATAAAGAAATGAGACTGAAAGTAAGCAATAGCAAGGCACTAGCGCTCACACCTATAATCCCGGCTACTCAGGAGGCTGAGTTCTAAGGGTTGAAGTTCAAAGCCAGGCCGGGTAAGAAAGAAAGTCCACGGGACTCTTATCTCTTAATTAACCAGCAAAAAAAGTTGGAAATGAAGCTGCGGCTTAAGTGGCAGAGCGCCGGCCACAAACGAGAGCTTAATGAGTTTTCTTAGAGCTTCCTTTCTCTCTTCAAAGTAGGAGCACCAGGTCCTGAGTTCAAGTCCTGGTATCGGCACAAAAAGCAGAAAGGTTTAATTAAAAAGCATGCAAGCAAGGAAGATCCTGGACTTCCACTCCACCCATGCAGGGCACATCCCTTTCCTCACGAGTTGAGTTCTGAGTTTCTCTCCACCTCCAGCCCTGAGCTGCCTCTAACTCTACCACCCGCTGCTCACCTCTGGTACATTTTGCAAAACCCACATCAGTCGTGGACAGGCTTGCTGGGTGGTAAAGACAAAGCGGCTCATGGTTAACATTCGCTGACTTCTGCTGACCAAGTGAAGCAGTCGGCAGGAGTTTTGCAATAGCTGTGAGACACATGGACAGAGGGACACACATACAACCAATTGTAAGGAAAAGGCGTTTGCTGGTATTGGGTATCTCTTGACTTATTCCTCAAAGCGAAGCCAGTGAGGGACAGGTCATTTCGTGGTTTAGTGCTGTTGTCAACACGATCCCCACACTTCAGAACATCAAAAACAGCAGTGCCATTCCAGATAGACAGTCTATTCTAACAACAAACGTAACCCGTCAATTGTGAACTCCTTTGTGAGTACCCAAGGCTTAGTGCTATGAATTAAAAAAAAAAAAAAACTCTTTTTCAACTGGGTATGGTAACATATGTTTGTAGTACCAACTCCTCAGGAGGCTGAGGGAGGAAGATCATCTGAGCCCAAGAGTTCAGGCCAGCTTGGGCAACACAGCCTGTCTCAAATATAAAATAAGCAGGCCAGATATCGGTGGCTCACATCTGTCATCCTTGCTACTCAGGAGGCTGAGATCTGAGGATGGCAGTTCGATACCAGCCCAGACAGGAAAGTCCTTGAGACTCTTATCTCTAATTCACCAACAGAAAACCAGAAATGGTGTTGTGGCTCAAAAGTGGGAGAGTGCTAAGCCTTGAGCAAAAGAGCTAAGGGGAGGGACTAGGAAGGTGGCTCAGTGGTAGAGCTCTTGCCTTGCATGCATGAGGCCCTGGGTTCGATTCCTCAGCACCACATAAGCAAAAAGAAAAAAGCCGGAAGTGGCGCTGTGGCTCAAGTGGTAGAGCGCTAGCCTTGAGCTGAAGAGCTGAGGGACAGCGCCCAGCCCCAGAGTTCAGGCCCCATGACTGGTGGACCCAAAAGAAAAAGAGCTAAGGGACAGTACCCAGTTCAAGCCCCATGACTGATATCAAAGAAACAAATAAATAATAGAGCCACAGACATGGTAGAACATGCCTGCCAGGAGGTGATGTCAGGATGATCACAAATTCCATAAGAAAATAAATAAAAAGAGAACACTTAAAACTGTATTATTCTCTTCTACCTACTTTTCTTTGGTGAGTGCCAGAACTGGGGCTGGAACTCAGAGCCTGGGCACTGTCCCTGAGCCTCTCTGCTCAAAGCTAGCGCTCTACTGCTTCTGGTTTTTTGCTGGTTAATTGGTGATTATCGTCTCATGGACTTTCCTGCCCGGGCTGGTTTTGAATCACGATCTTCAGATCTCAGCCTCCTGAGTAGCTAGGATTATAGGCGTGAGCCACCGTCGTGGTGTGGATCTGGGAAACTGTCTCACTGGTGTGCAGTGACACCTCACTCAGAAGTGACACAGGGCTGCTGTCCCTGTGCTCCTATTATGCTCATCGTCTGATAGCCTACTATGAGCCGGGTGTAAGGTGATGTGCATGTGGCATGCCAGTGGCAGTGGTGGTGTCTTCCCCATAGAAGATGGGGCCCCTCTCCCTCCTCTAGGGAAGACAATGGTGGTCACCCACACCTCTTCCACACCTCCTGAGGTTCGGGGCTAAGTACTGAGCTGCCACACATATTTTTGAGTGGCTCGTACTATATTTCACCATTTGGAGATTTTGTGCTTGCGTGTTCTAGCCTTAAGTGTCCTAAAACTAGGGAATCATTCCATTAAGATAAAGTCGGGGTTACCTTCATTAGAAGAGAATTATTCAAAGATTTGACGGACTCAGATGCTCTGGTGTCTTGCCAACTGATGAAGTTGTGAAAGGGAACCCCCGTTTTCCTAGAGAAGATGACCCAGAAGCACATTAGGAGAGGTGGCGCACTGGGCACGTGCCCCGAGGAATACAAAGCTGGAACATCGCGCATGACCTCATCACGTGGGCCTTCCAGAAGGACCTGTCTTGTGGTTCGGTAAGCTGAACCCTCGTGACAACTACCTGATGTATTCTGGGAGGTTTCATGTCAGATTCTATCCAGGCGGCTATTCCACTCGAAACACGACAACCTGCACACTTTCAAAACCAAAACAAAATTACTGGAAAGGTGCCAGGCGTGGTGCTGCCTGCCTGGAATCCCGCACTCAGGAGGCTGAGGCAGGAGGATCACAAGTGCAAGGCCAGCTAGACCTTATCACCCAACAACAAAACAACACTTAAAAAGCCAGTGCTCCTATTGTTATATGCATCCTGCTTGACACAAATAGAATAGACCTGGGACCTCATCTGTCATCTTCATGCTGGCTTAGTCTAGAGAAACTTCTCTAGGAAAGATCTAAGCCAAAACCACAATAAATATAAAGAGTCAAGAAATGCAGGAAAAAAAAATATTTTTTTTTTTTTTGTCAGTCACAAGGCCTGAACTCGGCCTGGGCACTGTCTCTGAGCTCTTCAGCTCAAGGCAAGTACGCTACCACTTGAGCCACAGCACCACTTCTGGCTTTTTCTGCTTATGTGATGTTGAGGAATCGAACCCAGGGTCTCACTCTACCACTGAGCCACATTCCCAGCCCAAAAAATAAAATCTTTTTTTAACGTATCTTGCCCATTAACCAGTGGTATGCACTAATCCTTTTCTCCTCCCTCTCTCCTTGTCTGCAGTTTGGGGAAATGCTGGCAGCCTTCTGATCAGCCTTCAGATCTTATTGTTCTGACTCTAGAAGTAAGGGATGGTTCCAGAGTCAAAGAACAGTAGGAGGGTGGCTCTCGCCTATAATCCTGGCTACTCACAAGGCTAAGATCTGAGAAGAGGAGTTCAAAGCCAGCCTGCCCAGGAAAAGTCTGTGAGACTCTTTAATTAACCACCAAAAAGTGGGAAATGGAGCTGTACCTCAAAGGGTAGAATGCTAGGTTTGAGTAAAAAAGCTCAAGGAAACTGGGTGCCAGTGCTCACATCTGTAATCCTAGCCACTCAGGAGGCTGAGATCTGAAGATCGCAGCTCAAAAGCCAGCCCAGACAGGGAAGGCTATGAGACTCCCATCTCCAATAAACCACCAGAAAACCAGAAGTGACGCTATGGCTCAAGTGGTAGAGGGCTTGCTTCAAGCTGAAGAGCTGAGAGACAGTGCCCAGGCCCAGAGTTCAGGCCCCAGGACAAACGCAGACTTCACATCTATAAAGCTGGCCAAGGGTTTTCTATGAGGAAATGCCTTCCCACCAAGGACTCACTTATTCCACGTGATAAACGTGGCTCTCTGCGTGGATATGCCAAGACCAGCGATGTCACTCATCTGGGCTCCAGCAGCTATGAGAAGAAAGAGAAAGAACACTTCAAAGCTGAGCTAGTGAACAACGCATTACTCAGATGATTTCTGGCAGGTTTTCATTTTTGCTTTCAGTCATGGGGCTTGAACTCTGGGCCTGGGCTCTGTCCCTCAGCTCTACCAGCTCAAGGCCAGCGCTCTACCACTTGAGCCACAACAGTGCCACTTCCATTTTTTTCTACTTGTGTGGTGTCAAGGAATCGAACCCAGGGCTTCATGCATGCTAGGTAAGCGCTCTACCACTAAGCCACCTGCCCAGCCCTCTGCTTACCTTTGACAGCATCTTTAATCACAGCCACAAACTGAGCCCAGAGAACTTCAGGGTTAATCTCCACCCAGCCAGGCTTAGGATAAAGAGTCTCCACCTATTTAGCAAACAAGAATGAGTAAAAAGACCACAGCTCGGTCACATCTGCGGCTTAACACTACTGGTGAAAATCATCCACAGAGTGATTCTGCTCTCTGATTTTTACTGTTAACATTGAGAGGGCTGGAAAGCACATCAGCCCCTGGAGTCAACCCCAGACCCTTCCACACCAGGGGAAAAAAAAAAATTAGATATAGATCACAAAGGGCCGCACGTCAACCCCAACAGAGCAGGGCTTGGAACTTTTCTACCTTTATTTTTCAGGTTCTCTACAATGAAAATGTTTGTAGGGAGGAGAGAGACTTTGAGAAATTAAAACTAGACTAGGAAAGGGAGTCCCTTGCTTGCAAGTGTGAACTGCGGACAAAAGACAAGGGGGCAGGGCTGGGAAGGTGGCTCAGTGGTAGAGCGCACCTCGCATGCATGAGGGCCTGGGTTCGATTCCTCAGCACCACAGAAGCAGAAAAAGCTGGAAGTGGAGCTGTGGCTCAAGTGGTAGAGTGCTTGCCTTGAGCTGAAGAGCTGAGGGACAGCGCCCAGGCCCAGAGTTCAAGCCCCACAACTGACCAAAAAAAAAAAGGACAGTCTGTCTGGTGGACTCCTCAAAGTACATGGGTGCGGGGACACCGAGGAAGATGTCATCTCCAGTACACCACACCACGCATGCCTGCCTCACGCACCGCTCACATTCAGAACAGCAGTTCCAGTCTACCGGATTCTGACTTTGTTCCTCTTTGTTCCCGTGCCTTTAAGAGGGATTTCGTTTTTGGTTGTTATTTTTTCTTAAATGTGTTTCTTTTAATGATATCTTGGAATGTGTATCATTTAAGCCATTATAAAAGTAAGGGGCCACACATCATGGTGGTGCACAAGTAATCCCAGTTACCTGGGAGGCAGAGAGAGAAGGATATTGGTTGGAGGCCAGTCCAGAAAAAAATAGTGAGAGCTTATCTCAAAAAGCAAGTTTGCCTGTAATCCTAGCTTGTTGGGAGGCAGAGGTTGGTGGACTGTCACCTAAAGCCAAGTCCTGCACAAAAACATGAAATTACATCTGCAAAAGAAAAAAGCAAGCGGGGCTGGGAATGTGGCTCAGTGTGGAGTGCTTGCCTAGCACACACAAAGCCCTGGGTTCAATTCCTCAGTACCTCATAAACAGAAAAAGCTGGAAGTGGTGCTGTGGCTCAAGTGGTAGAGCGCTAGCTTTTGAGCACAGAGAGGCTCAAGGACAGAGCCCAGGCCCTAAGTTCAAGCCCCGGGACCAGCAAAAGAAAAAGAAAAAAAAAGAACTGACTCAAGTGGCAGAGCTTGTTTAACAAGCTTTGAGTTCAAAACCCCAATATTGCAAAGCAAACAAACACCCAAGAAACCAGACTCACCATAAAGTTAAAGGGAGCTCGGGTTTTGGTGTGTAGTTTCTGTGAGTTTTAGCACAAGTGTGGGAGTAACTCAAAACTTCCCTCGAGCCACGCTTGTAGTTGCACCTTCCACTAACCCAGCTCCCAGTAACCACGCATCTGTTCCCCAGGTGGTACTCTCTCTTCTCTTCCATATCACCTAAGAGCTGGGCGGGGCAGCACACCCCTGTAATCCCAGCACTGGGGAGGCTGAGACAGAACTGTCTAGCCCTCCTCAGCCATAGAGAGCCTGTCTCAAGAACACAAAAGCGGTTACGTCAGTGTGGTGATTCAGCCGACAGCCTGTGGACTGGTTCTACCTGTGCCAAGGTCCCATTCATCTCACTTCTGTGTGGGAGTCTACGGACACTGCACGGTACTGATTTAATGGGAAGGCAGTGCAAACACGGGGACAGTGAAGTCAGTGTTGATTTCACAAGAAGGGTATGGCCCAACTGTGTGTGTGTGCGCGCACACACACACACACACCAACACTGCAGCTTGAACTCTACATCCGGGTCTATCCTGTCACAAGCCAAATGACTTCAAGAGTCCCTATCCTGAGATTCTCTTTCCCACTTTTTTTTTTTCCCCCAAGTGATTTATTTGGCAATATAAATTGAATCCTATTCTGTGAACCTGGGATTTGTTTTCATTTTGAGACAAAACAAAACAAATCTTACTATATACATTAGGATGGCCTTGAACTCCATTCTTGCAGCAGCGGAGTTCTGGGATTACAGGAATACACCCCTGTGCTCAGCTAGGTTTGTCTTCCATCGTAGCTCGAGTCTATGACAGAACCTCTCAGGTGCTAAGCTAAATTCCTAACTCTTTTAATCAACTGCAAATCATTTATTTGTAATTTGCTAAAACCAAAGGAGACCAACCCGAGAAACTCAAGCCATCTTTATTGTTTTCCTGTTGGCACTGCCAGGGATGGAACCCAGGGCTTCACACACGGCTAGGCAAGTACTTGACCACTGAGCTACACAGCCAGCCCCAATGAGAAATCAGAGAAACAAAATTTTTTTAAAGTCTTTTTGTTTTGTTTTGTGTCATGGGCCTGAACTCTGGGCTTCAGTGCTGTCCCTCAGCTCTTCAGCTCAAGCCTAGCGCTCTACACAAGCCACAGCACCACTTCCGGCTTTTTCTGCTTAGGTGGTGCTTAGGAATTGAACCCAGGGCCTCATGCATGGGAGGTAAGAACTCTACCACTCAGCCACTTTCCCAGACAGCCCCAAAATTTTAAAAATCTATAATTAAAGTACATTTCGGGGAGAGGGGAATGATACAGAATAATAAAACGCTTTATTTTATGAGACAATATATTAAAATTACTCTAGGGAACTGCTACAAAAGTTTCTAAATATGTAGTTTTATTTATCTCCACCCAGCACTGCAGAGCCACATTCTGAAGCACTAGATCCTTATTCTATCAGACACTTCACCCTAGGAAAATGGAGTTTTTGTATTTTTCATTTATTCACATTATTTTCCAAATGTCTCCACATTTACTTTTTTAAAAATTTATTTTATTTTTTTGGTGCCAGTCCTGGGGTTTGAACTCAGGGCCTGTGTACTGTCCCTGAGTTTCTTTACTCAAGGCTAGTGCTCTACTACTTGAGCCACAGTTCCACTTCTGGCTTTTTGGTGGTTAAATGGAAATGAGTCTCACAAATTTTGCTGCCTGGGCTGGCAATCCTCAGATGTCAGCCTCCTGAGTAGCTAGGATGACATGTGCCAGCCACTGTGCCCAGCTACCTTAGAGGCATGTTACTTTTATGATTTAAAAAGAAAGCTTGGGGCTGGTAGCTCACACCCATAATCCTAGCTACTCAGCATGAGATTTGAGGATCATGGTTCTAAGTATCTACAATTAATCGCAGAAAAAACTGGAAGTGGGGCTCTGGCTCAAGTGGCAGAGTGCTAGCCTTGAACAAAAGAAGCTCAAGGATAGTGCCTGGCCCTGAGTTCAAGCCCCAGGACTGGTGAAAAATAAATAAAGGCATACAGCAGGGGTGGTGATGTTTAAAGGTCTTAGCAATCAATCACTTGTTCAACATAAGCCAGACACACACGCTTCTCCTTGGCTACCTGTACCCAGACCCTGTATGCTCCTTGAACGATGTTATTAATATTCACATGGCACCAACTAGAGCATGACTAGACCATCTTGGCTTCCTGCCCCGCACCACAATCTTGATTCACCTTTGAGATTTTTTTTTTTTTTCCAGCCCTGGTCATGGGGTTTGAACTCTGGGCCTGGGCACTGTCCCTGAGCTCTTCAGCTCAAAGCAAGTGCTCTACCATTTGAGCCACAGTGCCACTTCCATCTTTCTGGTAGTTCACTGGAGATAAGAGTCTCAAGGACTATCCTGCCTGGGCTGGCTTTGAACCATAATCCTCAGATCTCAGCCTCCTGAGTAGCTAGGCCTTTAAAAACAAAACAAAACACAAAATACTGGGGTTTGAATTTAGAGGTCTTTTTGCTCCCTAAATAGGTACTATACCAACTTGAGCCTCATCCCATCCATTCTGCCTTCTTAAAATTAGTATGTCAAAATAAAACAAAGCGTTTTCATTCTGACATTGACATACATCCATACTTTAAAGGTACTTTAATCATGGGCTGGGAAGGTGGCTCAGTGGTAGAGCGCTTGCCTTGCATGCCTGAGGCCCTGGGTTCGATTCCTCAGCACCACATAAGCAAAAAGAAAAAAGCTGGAAGTGGCACTGTGGCTCAAGTGGTAGAGTGCTAGCTTTGAGCTGAAGACCTGAGGGACAGTGCCCAGGCCCAGAGTTCAGGCCAGACGACCGGACCAAAAGAAAAAATAAATAAATAAAGGTACTTTAATCAAAAATCTTCCTTGAGAGTGTGGCTTTGTAATAGAGCTTGCATGAAGCCCTGGGTTTGATTTCTCAGTAGCACATACACAGAAAAAGTCAGTAGTGCTGTGGCTCAAGTGGTAGGGTGCTAGCCTTGGGCAAAAGAGGTTTAAGGACTGGGCAAAAAAAAACAAAAACAAAAAACAAAAAAACCTTTGTTCTGACTACTATCTTTGAGATAGGTCTGCTGTTTGTGCCTAAGCTGGCCTGGCTCAAGACTGGTATGACAGGTATGTGGCACTATGTCCAGCTTTTAGAGGTTGAGATGGTGCCTCATAAACTATTAAACTGTGATCCTCTGGATCTCAGTCTCCCAAGTAGCTAAAAGGCCAAACCACTGTGTAGCAGCACTTAACATTTCTAAAGAAACAAAAATATAACAACTAATGATTTGCCCCAAATGACACAGCAACTATACAAATGTATTTTCTAACCATTTCTTGTTTTGGCTCCAAATATCCGTTCTGGTTTTTTTTTTTTTTTTAAAGTGACTGCTTCAACAAAAGTGCTCTGTGTCTACAATCACAAAGGAGACTGGCAAAAGTACCCTGTGCTTGTAACAGACGAGGCAGAAGACAAGGGGTCACTGAGGACAGTATCTGTCTCTTTTCAGGTGGTCGTTAGCCGTGTTTCCCACACACCGCCACCAGGAAAGGAAGCCTGAGCCCCCGTGGGGGCTCACCCCGTATCCTCTCCTGAATCAAAGTCTGCCTTATCCTCAAAACAAAGGCTGGGCCAGCCCCTGGGCAATTACAGAGACAAACTCACGGAGTGGGAAGAAGGGTGGAAGAAGGGTGGATCTCCCGTGGCAGGTGGCCACTGTTGTAAGGAGCAGTGTAGACTTAGGGAACCAACGGTTCCTGTGCTTAACACAGACAGTACAGAAAGATGCCGGTGTCCGGGGCTGGGAGGTGGCTCAGTGTAGAGCGCTCGCCTAGCATGCATGAAGCCCTGGGTTCCATTCCTCAGTACCACAGACACAGAAAAAGGCAGAAGTGGCACTGTGGCTCAAGTGGTGGAGTGCTAGCCTTTGCAGCTCAGGGACAGTGCCCAGGCCCTGAGTTCAAGCCCCAGGACAGGCAAAAACAAAGAAAAGAAAAGAAATATGCCGGCGTTGCAACAGTAAATAAGGAGGTATAGCTGAGGAGCCAGGGTGCACAGGGATCTGGGTTTGAGGGCCACACCATAAAACCAAAACAAATATAAAAGAGGCAAACAAAGAAAAAGAGCTGGGCAAGATGACTCACACCTGTAACTCCAGCTACTCAGGAAACAGAGATTAGGACAACTGAAGTTCAAATTTAGCTCACCCCCCCCCCCCCCTAAATATTAGTGAGAGCCTATCTCAAAAAGAAGCTGACATGTAAAATCAAGCAAGAGGCTTAGGAAGAAGGCTGGAAGTATAAGGAAAGCACAAGAGTAAGGAACCCTATGAGAAAAATACCTAAGGCCAAAAGGACTCCGGTGTGGCTCAGGAGTAGAGCACCTGACTAGGCCCTGAGTCAATTCTTCCTCCAGTAAAAGTAGTCACTAAAGGCGTCACAGCTCATCAACATTCTTTCTTTCCTTCTTCCCACCCCCCCTCCACCCCCCGGCCAGTTCTAGACCTTGAATTCAAGGCCTGGGCACTCTCCCTGAGCTTCTTTTGTGCAGTTAGTGCTCTCCCACTTGAGTCACAGCACCACTTCTTGCTTTTGTGCTGGTTAATTGGAGATAAGAGTCTCATGGGTATTAGTAGCTCACAACTATAAGCCTAGCTTCCCAGGAGGCTAAGATCTGAGGATTGCAATTTGAAGCCAGACCAGGCAGGAAAGTCTGTGAGACTCTTACCTCCAATTAATCAAGAAAAAGCCAGGAGTGGTGCTGAGGCTCAAATGGCAGTGCTGGCCTTGAGCAAAAAGGAGTTCGAGGACAGTGCCCAGGTCCTGAGTTCAAGTCTCAGGACTGGCAATACACACATGCATATACACATACAGACGTACATATACTGTCTATGGACTTTCCTGCCTGGGCTGGCTCTGAACCTTGATCCTCAGGCCTCAGCTAGGATGACAGGTGTGAACCTGGCAAGCCCCTCACCCATACCATCAACAATTCAAGGCTTTGCTAACCACCACCACCCAATGACTTGGGAGGTTTCTCAAACCATGGAAGAATAATTTCATGAAATCTCAAAGACAGAAAGAAAAGAAACGAACTTTCCAAACTTATCTACCACCTCCCACAGCCAGGGCAACCAAGTGCTCACGCAGGGGCAGCGCTTGCGGGGGAAAGCGGAGACAGAGACCACAGATCTCTACTCTGCCCAGTTCTCAAAGAGGGAAGGGTCAGGGGTCGACCGAGGAGGGGCAGGAAAAAGGAAGCAAATCTCAAGGCTCGGACCCCTACAGCCCACCCAGGCCCCTGCACCCCCTGACCCCTGCAGCCCACCCGGGCCCCTGCACCCCCTGACCCCTGCACCCCCTGACCCCTGTACCGCACCCAGGCCCCTGCATCCCCTGACCCCTGCACCCCCTGACCTCTGCACCCCCTGACCCCTGCACCCCACCCAGGCCCCTGCACCCCCTGACCCCTGCAGCCCACCCGGGCCCCTGCACCCTCTGACCCCTGCACCCCACCAGGGCCCCTGCACCCCCTGACCCCTGCACCCCCTGACCCCTGCAGCCCACCCGGGCCCCTGCACCCCCTGACCCCTGCACCCCTCCCCGACCCCCGCGCCCGGGGCCCGCGTGCTGCAGGCGGCCGCGCGTCCGGGCCGGGCGGGGCCGATCCCCCCTCGCGCCCCGCGCCCGCCGCCGCTTCCCGGTCACCTTCCCCGCGCTGGAGCCGCGAACCCGCGCCGTCCGGTCGTAGACGTGGCAGCGGATCACGGTGCTGCCCACGTCCAGCCCCAGCACGAAGCGGGCGTCCGCCGGCTCCGCGCGCCGCTGCCCCGGGCCGCACGGCTGCGTCGACATCGTGACCCCGAACGCGCGCCAACAGCAGCAGCGCCGCCGCCGCCGCCGCCGCCGCCGCCGCCGCCTCAGCCTCTCCGCTACCGCCACGGCCGCCGCCGCCGCCGCCGCCGCCGCCCGAGCGCTAAAAACGCCGGCGCCGCCGCGCACCCCCGCCCACCCGGCCCCGCCCACCCCGTGACGCCAGCGCGCGCCCGCGTGAGGGGGCGTGGCGCGCCCGCGGGTCCGCGCCCGACGGCGCAGGCGCGCCCCCAATGACGCAGGCTGCGCCTGGAGGCCGCCGATTGGCCCTGCAGACGGGGAGGGGCCGGGGCTCGGCTTTGCCTTGGGGAAAGTTAGCCCGGCTCGGGGCCCCACGCAGCGAGTGGGCTGCCATCCGAGGATCTCGGTGCGAAGCCAACCGGGGCAGGAAAGTCTGTGAGATTTATCTGCACAAGTGGGGCTGTGTGTGGCTCAGTGGGCAGAGCGCCTCCACCCTCTGCACCTGGAGATGGCACGCCTCTGGGAGCTGCTACAGCCATAGGAGGCAGGCAGCAAGATCCCCTCAGAGTGACCTTTAAGTCTAGGCAGCTGCAAGACCCCCTTCTCTAATAATGCGTCTCGGGCAGCAGCCATACATCCTACCCAGCCATGAGGACCTGGCCCACACATTCACCCCTACGTCTCCTCTTGGGCAGCAGCCACAGATCCTACCCAGCCATGAGAACCTGGCCTACACATTCACCCGTAGGTCTCCGCCTCCTATCCCCTGTAAGTTATATAGGTCACCTCAGACAATAGCCATTACATCTCTCACGTGGGAAGGTCCCTTTGTAGGCAGTACACTTTTCCTTGTACTTTGTGTCGTCGTGTCTGCATGTCTGGGTAGTTTTTCTGCTATAGCCTAATAATAAAGTCTCAGAGAAACTTGAGAGGAGGCTTTCTCGAGTTTCTCAATGATAGTTCTAGCGAGTCTTTTGAAGCCTAGGTCTTGTTGTGTAGCTCAAGCTAGCCTCAAACTCACACTCCTCATGCCTCAGCCTCCGTAGTGCTGGGATTACTGGCCTGAGCCACAACACCAGTTTTCTGAGGGCTTGAAGCCAGGATCCTTCCTTCGTGAACCTTTTTGTTCACTCAACTTTATTATCTTAAGTATTATCAATCACCAGATGTGAAAACTGGCACCTCCAGAACCACTCACTCTAGTGTTCATAAACTATTTCCAGATCACACACACACACACAAAAGACAAATATTGTCATTCAAAGATTCCCTGCAAACCTCCCGCCGTCGCTTGTTCTGGGCCTTATACTCTCACCATGCTTTTTTGCTCCTTGCTGGCGGTCTATCATCTCAGTACCAACTCCAGTCTGGCTTTTTGCTGGTTAAATGGAGATAATGAAACCAGGTTTTTAGGACTCAGGCTACACTCCAGGAGTTCTAAGTTAGGTCTGGCCATTCAACCCCCCATATGCCAAATAAAGAGACATGGTAAGGACTGGGAGTGTGGCTTAGTGGTAGAGTGCTTGCCTAGCATGCATGAAGCCCTGGGTTCAAGTCCTCAGTACCACATATACAGAGGGAAAAAAAAGCCTGAAGTACAGATATTGGTTTTAAGTTAAGGAGGGAGAATTGGGTCAGAGAGTAAGAAAAGTATACAGAGTTCAAATGGTGCCTGGTTGACAGGAATTAGTGTTTGTCCATTATCAGTGTTTTGTCCTGGAGGAGTTCTAGAGAATTATCACTTAACCTCGCGACAAGTTGCTTTGTGGGTGATCTGACTTTCTTGCTGTTTCCTTTAAGATGACCAGAAAGAACACACTGCAGCCTTCCACATAGAATACTTAGGAGTAAATTTTCTCAAGGCAGATACAAATCATAGGGCCTGGCAAAAGCATCTTCCAGGTTGTATCTTAGGATAGAAATCTCAGGTCTCAGATTGTCTGCCAGGGCTGGCTTCAAACCTAATTCCTGAAATCTCAAGCTCTTGAGTAGCCAAGATTATAGGTATGAGCCACTGGTGCCCTACTAATTCCTCCTCCTTACATTTTCCTTTTATTCCTTTTTTTTTTTTTTTTTTTGGTTGTGGGGCTTGAACTCTGGGCCTGGGCGCTGTCCCTCAGTTCTTCAGCTTAATGTTAGCACTCTACCACTTGAGCCACAGCGCCACTTCCAGCCTTTTCTGTTTATGTGGTGCTAAGAAGTTGAACCCAGGGCCTCATGCATGCAAGGCAAGCACTCTACCACCTTCCCAGCCCTTCTTCTTTGTCTTTATCTTCCACTTCACTTCCTCCTCTTCCTTCTTTTTTGCTGGTACTGTTATAGTTTAAATTCAGGGCCTCTCACTTGCTTCTATAGCTCGTACTCTTAACTCATGATCCATGCCTCCAAGCCCTGCTTTTTCTGCTTCCAATTCTGTTGGAGATGGAGTCTCTTATGGACTTTTCTGCCTGGGTTGGCCTTGAACTGTGATCCTCTGAATTTCATTAGCTAGGGTTACAAGTGTGAGCTACTCTGCTCCTTATAAAGTCGAAATTTTTCCTGTAATTCAGGTGTTGGATGTGGGGTAAACACAAAGATCTAAGTAAACATCCTGACCTGATTTCTTGTAGATGGATAGATGATTGCCTAGAAGTGACCTAGAGAAACAGAGACATTGTTTTCAAACTAACTGTTCCCAGCTACACCTGTCCTACCCTTAGGAAAAGGAGGATGTGGGCCACAGGGCTCAGAGGCTGCCAAAGCCTTCGCTGATGGGGCAGCTCACATGATTCTTCCTGATTTTGAGGCCACTGTGCTTTTGTCACAGGATTAGGAAGAATACTAGGCAAGCTGATGGCTGAGAAAAATGGCTTGATGTTGCTTAAAAAAAAGAAAAAACCAGGTGCCGGTGGCTCACACCTGTAATCCTAGCTGCTCAGGAGGATGAGATCTGAGGATCATGAGTCAAAGCCAGCCTGGGCACGAAAATCCATGAGATTCTTATCTCCAATAAACCACTCAGAAAACCAGAAGTGGCGCTGTGGCTCAAGTGGTAGAGCGCTTGCCTTGAGCTGAAGAGCGCAGGGATGGTGCCCAGGCCCAGAATTCAAGCCCCACAACTGACAAAAAAAAAAAAAAAAGAGGGGCTGGGAAGGTGGCTCAGTGGTAGAGCGCTTGCCTTGCAAGCATGAGGCCCTGGGTTCGATTCCTCAGCACCACATAAACAAAAAAAGCCAGAAGTGGCGCTTTGGCTCCAGTGGTAGAGCACTAGCCTTGAGCTGAAGAGCTGAGGGACAGTGCCCAGATCCAGAGTTCAGGCCTCATGACCGGCAAAAAAAAAAAAAGAAAGAAAGAAAAAGGAAAACAAAAGTGGGCTGGGAAGGTGGCTCAGTGGTAGAGTGCTTGCCTAGCATGCATGAAGCTCTGGGTTCGGTTCCTCAGTACCACATAACCAGAAAAAGCCAGAAGTGGTGCTGTGGTTCAGGGACAGTGCTCAGGCCCTGAGTTCAAGCCCCAGGACTGGTTTAAAAAAAAAAAAAAAAAGGACTCCAGGTCTGGGGTCCCCCTCTCTGTGGAGAGTCTTTCCTTGACTCCCTTTTGATTTCAAATAAACATGTTCTGTCTGCCTTAAGAGTCAAACAAAAATAATAAAGACAAAGGAAAAGAAACAAAGTACATCCTGACTAGGATAATGTTAACTGAATGATCAGTGACTGACAGCAGGGGCGTGGCCAGTGGCAGCCCAGGAAGCCTGCAGAAAATGACAGAGCAGGTAGCGGGGAAGGAAACCTCCCTTCCCAGACTCGTGGGAAGTGGTCCTGGCATGTGACTCAGGATGACCACCTCCCCAGCCGACAACCCCCAATAGAAGCTTAAGACGTGAAGACTCAAGCCAGGGGTGGTGGCTCATGCCTGTAATCCTAGCTACTCAGGAGGCTAAGATCTGAGGATTGTGATATGAAAGCAGCCTGGACAGAAATGTCTGTGAGACTCTTAACTCCAATTAACCATCAAAAAACCAAAACTGGAGCTATGGCTAAAGTAGTAGAGCACTAGCCTTTTGGGGAAAAGCTCAGGATCAGTGCTCAGGTTCCTGAGTTCTGGTCACAGTACCAACATACCTATCAGCCTGCCTCTGTTGTTTGCTGTGTCCATCTTGGAATTCTGGTCCTATACGAACGTCCATCAGCTGGTGGCCCCAGCTAGATGGGATGTGGCTACTTCTCTTCAGATTGAGGCTTGGCTGTTCTCCCAGCTCCTTCTCCACCATCAGGATGATTTATGCTTGCTCCTCTGGATGTCAGACCTGAGGTGACGTCTCAGGGAACTACCTCCCTTTTGTTCTGGAAACTTGGATGCCACAGTTAGAGCTGGACGAGAAAGGAGACTGAGCCCTGAGATCAGGTGGCGGCTCCATCTTCTAGAGCCACTGGCTGCCCCTCTTTTTCCATGACCCAGGGGGTTCCTGGAACACAGGGGCCAATACCAAGAAAGAAGCAACTGGGACACCGGTCACTGTAATGGCTCAGAAGCTGCAACAACCACATGGACTTCCATACATGTCCAGGGGTCCACGCCAGCGTCTCGAGATGCTTGTGGCCTGTGGACTGTCATGTCTGAGTGCTGATTAAAGATTAATCTCACAGTACATGCAGGTGTGAAATGCCTGTGTGTATTGTGCTAGGTCCCGGGGCTTGAACTCTGGGCCTAGGCACTGTCCCTCAGCTCTTCAGCTCAAGGCAAATGCTCTACCAATTGAGCCACAGCGCTACTTCTGGTTTTCTGGTGGTTCATTGGAAATGAGTCCCACAGACTTTCCTGCCCGGGCTGGCTTTGAACTGTGATCCTCAGGTTTTAGCTTCCTGAGTAGTTAGGATGACAGATGTGAGCCACCAGTGCCCAGCTAGACATCCCTTCTTAACTACGAACTGAACTCCCTTTTCTAGACCACCCAAATAGGGCTCACTCTGAGTAGCAGTACCCCTCTCCTCACCATCCAAAACCCTTAAGTCTGACCCCAGCGGAGACCGCACCTGTCCTCTATGGACAGTTGTGACTCTTACTGTGTTCATACTAAGCCGGCCTTTCCAGCCCTCAGCACGCCC